CTCTCTCCAATTCAAAATATTGCCAAAGCAATAAACATATATGTAGATAAATAAAAGTGAATAAAAAAAAATTTGTACAATTATTTATCCATCTGAGGTTCCACTGGTTGTCCTCATTTCATGGCATGAGGAGATATATTTTGCAGCAATTATTTCACATTTGGGCATTTCTCCCAGTAAATATGGGAGTTTCTGTGTGTCTGATATGGATTCGAATTCAGGGTATATTTGGGAAATGTTTGCAAAGTGTTTTTGTCTTAGTGTATTATATTTGGGGCACGAGGTTAAAAAAGTGCAGCTCTGTCTCTACCTGTCCCGGTCACACTGGGGAGCAGAGTCTCTCCTCTTGTGGGAGCCAGCTCTGTCTGTGGCGACCCGTCTCTATGGCTAGGCTGTGTTTACTAAGTTTGTATGTTGTCAACATTTTTCGTAGTTTAGGACATTTTATTGTACTCGGGTAATTTGCCAGTGTGAATTCTCTTTTTAGGGTCAGATAACATTGTAATTTACTTTGTGTTTTGGTTGTTTTCTTTCCAGTATTCAATATATTTTTCTTTCTGCTTGTTGATCATTTGGTTTGGTCTGCTTGAGTTGTTGTTGCTGTCCTGAGGCTGTTGGGGACTTGTTACTGCAGAGAGCCTCAGCACCAGCTGGCTGAGGGGACTCTTTTCTGGTTTCAGCTCCTGGTATGTTAGGGCTTTGTGATGATATGTCTGGGGGTTAACTGATTTTAAGTGATTGTAAAATTTAATTGATCTTTTCTGTGTTTTTAGTAAGATGGGGGTATTGGCCGAGCTCTGCTCTGCACAGGTTATTCGGTGTTTTTCTCTGCACCTGTAGGATGCTCTTACAGAACTCAGTATGGAAAGATTCTATGATTGTTTTGGCCCCCAAATTTCACTACCATAGTATAGAATTATTGGTTCTAGTACAAATGGGAAAATTTTAATCCAGATTTCAATTGGAATATATATTTTAATGTTTCTTTTTATTGCATAGAAAGCTCTCCTTGCTTTGTCCCTCAGATCTTTCACAGCCATGTTGAGGTTCCCTGTGTATGTAATGTTGAGGCCAAGGTAAGTGTAGTTTTTTGTGTGTTGTAATTTAGTGGTGTCTAAATAGAAGTTGTGTGTAACCTGATTTCTGTATTGTTTCTGAAAGATCATTATCTTAGTCATTACTGTGTTTACTGTCAGGGCCCAGGTCTGACAGAATCTCTGCAGGAGGTTAAGGTGCTGCTGCAGACCTTCTTTAGTAGATGAGAATAACACTAAGTCATCTGCACACAGCAGACCTCTGATCTCTGTGGTGTTCAGGGTGAGGCCAGGTGCCGTGGAACTCTGTAATTGGTTTGCTAATTCATTGATATATAGATTGAAGAGAATTGGACTGAGATTGCATCCCTGCCTCACTCCCCGGCCCTGGGAGAAGAACGTTTGTTTGTTTGTTTTTGTTTGTTTGTTTGTTTGTTGTTTGTTTGTTTGTTCCCAATCTTTATGGCACATTCACTTTTTGTATATGTTCTTAATCAAATCATATGTTTTCCCTCCAATGCCACTTTCAAGTAGTCTGTAGAAGAGGCCCTCGTGCCAGATGGAATCAAAGGCTTTTTGGAAGTCAACAAAACGGGGATATACCTTTCTTTTCTTAATGTTTAATTCTTGATCAATTAGAGTCTGGAGTGTAAATATATGGTCCTTTGTGCGGCAATTTGGCAAAAAAACAATTTGGCATTTATGCAGAATATTGTGGTCCTCAAGAAAGTTGACAAGTCGTTTATTAATGATGTTGCAGAATATTTTTCCCAGGTTACTGGATACACACATTCCTCTGTAGTTATTTGGGTCATATTTATCTCCGGATTTATGAATTGGGGTTATTAAACCTTTGTTCCAGATGTCTGGAAAAGTTCCAGTTGATGGATCATAAAATCAGATTGGCTATACTAAAACTATTCAATACTATTCTGAGTATTTGATCATTTCATTGAGGATTCCATCTACACCACAAGCCTTTTTTATCTGTTCTGTTAAAGGGTAATCTAGAGGGTTTTGGTTGTTTTTTATCACCAAGTATCTTGTACTGATCATTACTGATCAGTATTTCCATCTTGAATCGCCAATTCATCCTGCTGGGTTTTGTTTAGGTTGTTCCATTTCTCCCAGAACTGGTTGGACTCTAAAGATTCCTCAATTTCACAGAGCTGCTTTTTGTTGTGTTGTTCTTTCTTAGTTTTTAGGGTGTACTTGTATAGTTTCAGAGTGGCCTCATATTTATAGCGTATATTGTGGTTATCTGGGTCCTTATGCTTTTCATTTGATAATTTCCTTTCTCTCTCTCTCTCTCTCTCTCTCTCTCTCTCTCTCTCTCTCTCTCTCTCTCTCTCTCTCTCTCTCTCTCTCTCTCTCTCTCTCTCTCTCTCTCTCTCTCTCTCTCTCTCTCTCTCTCTCTCTCTCTCTCTCTCTCTCTCTCTCTCTCTCTCTCTGTACCATTCTTCATTCCTTCGTTCCTCCCAGGAGAATATGGCCCCTCTCCTTAATTTCATGCTGTAAGGGGATCGTGCAGAAATTACACCTAGACACCCATTCAATTTCCCCTTAACGTATCACTTCCCCATCATCTATAGTCTTATCCAGTAAGCCCATTTAAGCTAGTCATTTCACATGTTCCATGATACCAGCGGACAGTCACGGGTACCATACTGATTCTCATTTATTTGATATTTTGTTACATTTTATGTGTTTGTATAGATTGATTTTAAGATTGATTGAATAGGGGGTGCAAAATGAAATTGTGTAACTGTCGGAACTGTCTCTTATGCTCATCAAGATTGCATTTATTTGATCAAAAATACAGTAAAAACAACAAAATTGTAAAATATCATTGCAATTCAAAATATTTGTATATTTTAACATGTAATTAATTCCTGTGATGTCAAAACTGAATTTTTTAGCAGCCATTACTCCAGTCTTCAGTGTCACATGATCCTTCAGAAATCATTCTAATATTCTTATTTAGTGCTCAAGAAACATTAATAAAACATATTATTATTATTAATGTTGAAAACAATTGTGGTGCTTAGCATTTCGTGTGTGTGTGTGTACGTGCGTGTGTATAATCATAGATTATTTCTCAGAAGATTATTATTCATACATTTTTTCTATTAACTCAGAAAAAAAAAAATCATCAATATTGCCCATAAAAGTACATTCTTCATTATACATTATATTTTTCATCATGTAATGTTCAGATGATGGCCGATGAACAAATAGTTTGAGGTAGAACTGTGCTTATGAGAGTCTCTGGGGTGAAAAATGAGATTTCAGAGGAAATGTCTGAGGAGACTTTACAGATATTACGCCACTGACTTGAGTGACAAAGATCTCAGCACATCTGCTGAGCAGCCTGAACGGGTCCAGAGGTGAATGAAAGAATCAGGAGAGATGGTGTTGTGAAGATGTAAAGAGAGGTGATGAAGGATGAACTTTTACTTCAGTAATGTGGACTGTATATTTTCATGCTTTCGTGAACAATGTGGCCATACAGATGCACTGTCATGAGAACATGGGGTCCACATAAAACACACTGATCTCTGTGGAGGCCGTTTGCTGATGAAGTTGGTCTCTATCAGTCTGTTTGCAGTTAAAGTGTGAACATTAGGCCCTGTCCCACTAATACGTTTTCGTTTGAAAACGCATCCTTTTCTCTCCTTTTTGGCATTCTGTCAACACTGAGACAGCGTTTTTAACAATGAAAACGAAGCTTTTTGAAAACGCTCTCTAAAGTGTCTGTTATGTGCTATCACTTTCACACAGTTGCTAAAATGTTACTTTGCATCTCTTTGCATATCACAGTCCGGTAAAGATGACAGAAAATTCACTCGCATTTGCTGTCCTGTGGCAAAACATGAGACAAGTTGCGTTTTAGACCAAACATATAATGGTGAGTGAGTTGGATCAGTGAATGGTGAGATATTTTTCTAAATAAAATGATCATGCGCTGTAAGGTGAATTCAGTGTTCTCCAACGTTTCAGTGTGGATGAGAAACGTTTTGAAAATGCTAGTGTGAATGGAGAGCGTTTTGAAATGAAAGCTCCATTTTCAAATCTATCTGGATTAATGTAGATGTAGCTTTAGTCTCGGGTGAGTGTATTTACACACACATCACTGCATGTCTTTCGTATTGTCTTTTCAAGAGCCGTCCTTGTCTCTGCTACACACAAGCACACACACACGTGAACATATAAAATTAATTGGGGTCAGTTTTCCATGTTTCATCTTGTAAATAACAAAGGCTACTAATGAAGTGACAAAGATCTCATGAAGTGAATTGAAGTGCTCTGGAATGCTTGGCTGTCAATCATAACACACCATCATATTTGTATTACTTTTATGGTCTTAGCAATCACTTCACGATCAAGCTTACCAATCACACTAATAGCAGTCACCAGGTTTGTAAATTATATGCTTAAGCATCAAAAACTTTGCTCACCATCCTAAATAAAAAATACAATAATTTTGATTAATATACATTACCACTTAAAAGTTGGGGCACAGTAATATTTATTTTTATTTTTCAGAAGTTCATACAGCAAGGATTTGTTAAATTGATCAAAAGCAGTAAAGACCTTTATTATGTTACAGAATATTTCTGTTTCAAATCAATGATGTTCTTCTGAAGTAAACTTTCTGAAGGATCATGTGACTGAAGACTGGAGTAATGATGCTGAAAATTAATACATGAATAAATTACATTTTAATATATTTTAAAATAGAAATTCTCTAGTTATTAGTTAGTCTAGTTAATACTCTAGTTATAATTGTGATAATATTTCACAAATATTTATTATAATATAATGTAAAATATAATATTTTTACTACACTAATGTTCAAATAAATTCACCATTGGTATCAAAAACTTTTTTTAAATTACCAACCCTAAACTATTTAACAGTAGTGTGTATATAAATCATGCCACTCTTCAGGGAAAAAAAAATATATTTTTTTGTAGTCATTTTTATGATTTTTTACTACTTTTAGAACTAGGCAAAACAGTGTATAAGCAAAGACATCCCTGTCCTTCTCACACACAGAGTTAATGACCACAGATTCTGGTTCTGCTCTAGTAATTACAGTGCAGTTTGGAGCTTGTTAGTTACATAGCATACAGACACACAAACACATGTGGAACTTTGTGTGAAGGCTGTGATTAATAGCACTTATACACACACACACACACACACACACACAGTGAGGAATGTGGAGCCCAGCATTCAGGTCAAGTATTCTGGTAGTTTAGTGAAGTTTAAGGGTGTGGTGTGCTTAGTTTAGATTTTGGAGTTTGAGGAGAAAGCCTTCTCTGTCTCTGTGGCACGCACGCATTCACTCTCTCTTAACAGATTCCCTCAAGGGAATCAGACACTTCTGACTAGTCACACCTCACTGAAGCCTTCATAGACCCTAGTGTTGACATCAGTCTCAGGTGATCTGAATTAGATGCCGCTAAATGCAAGTGTGAACCGAGTCCAAACACATTTGATGAAATATATTTAACCACATGGTTTGATTATATTTAGAATTTTTTTTAACTTTTTTAAAAAAAAATTGTTTATTTTAAAATTATCAACATGCATTTACATACTATCGAGTATAAACAGTAATTTCACCGCTTTTGAGATGAACACCCGAGATTGATGTTAATACCAAGTGTAAACAGTGCCATAGTTTCTCAGACACACTAAGTTTCTGTGGACTCGGGTCTGCTAATTTGATTTACAAAAATGCTGTCTCCATTCAGTTACCCATTCTGTGAATGTGTGAGATAGGGAGATTTATAAATGCACCTCCTCAGACAGATGGGATGAACTCTTTGGCTTTTTTCTGTTTTCCCTGGCATATGTACAGACTCTAGAGAGTCTGCATTTGCTTGTGTGGGAGAACACCGAACAGTGAGAACAGCGTCTCTAATCTCCCAGCTCGTGTGTGTGTGTGTGTGGCAAAAAGTTTGGATTCTTATTGGCTGTGGTGGTTTTTATCGTTCATCCGTAGGAAAAAATCATTCTGAAAGGGATTTCAATGATATCGTTCTCTGTACCGTTATCATTATAGTTGTGGTGTGGACTCTTCTATTCTTTTATATTTAGAAGGATTTTTAGAACTGTATCATTAGCATTATAGGTATCGTCCTTGGTGTGAACGGGCCTTTAGTGTGTAAATGTTTAGAAGAGTTTAGAAGAGTTAAAAAACGGTGATGCCCAATCGAGGAACATCTAAGGCGGCAGAGGTCAAGTTTAGGGATTGCTGTTTTGACGTCATTGCAAAGGTTAAGTCAGGGGCTGGGATCAGGCACAGCACAGCTGAGGGTAAATGTCAACCCTAGATTAGGTTTCAGATTGGTTATTCACGATTGGCTCTTGAGTTTAAACGGCAGTCAGTTTCACCCTACTGAAAGGTATCTCCTTTTGGCTTTTTGTATATTTATCTTTATCTTTTTTTTTTTCATCAGGTTCTGGAAATCCTGGTGCGTGCAGTAGTGGACAACCTGACAGATCACCGTGGCGAACAGGCCTCCAATCTTAAAGCAAAACTGCAGGAACTCTTTGGTCGAGTCTCCGCCCGCTACAGTACAGACGCCCAAATATGGAAACAGTACGCTCGACTCTACGGCGATGGTCATAGCAACAATGTAGAAGACAATGAAAAGGTCCATTTTAAATGTTTTATTTCAAGAAGTGCCTAACTTAAGCAAAGAGCACCTGTGATTTTCTACAATATATCGAAGTTTTTCCAGCAAATATCGCTCCCAAAACGTTTTTCTCTCTAAATATATTCAAAGTTTAATACCGTTTTTGTCAGTTCCTGTAGAGTTAGAGCACTCATGGTTCAATCCCCAGGATTGAGTGGTAAAATATATACCTTGAATGCTCTGCAAGTCACTTTGGATAAAATGCATAAAGTAAATATAGTTATGAAGAACGGGAAGTTGCACCATTTGAAATTTCAAACTCAGCTTTACGTGGAAGAGAGCTTTTATTGGTTGTTGCTTTCTTTCTTTACATCAGGTTTAGTCATGTCGTCTAACTGCATTTTGATGTTTTTAGGCACTACAGTTTCTGAGTAAAGCCCATCGGTGTGAGACACAGACAGCTGGCTGGGAGAAAGACATGGGCAGCTTCAGATCTGTGGTGAAAGGTGCCAGAGATATGGCTAATGGTGAGACTTAACACATACAGTGTCATGCTTTGCCTTTCTCTTTTACAAGGCCATTTGAGAGAGACACACAGAATCGTGGTCCTGCACTCATTCAGAGAGTCACTCTATCATGGCTAATGTGGCAGCGCATGAACGTCTGAAAGGGCTGATGGATTGAGAACACGGAGCAGGAGCAAGAGCGACAAACAAGCCTTTTACCCCTCTGACCTCCACCAGAGACAGACTTCTGTTTGTGTGTGTGTTTTCCAGATGGGTTTGCTTTTGTCTGTGTGTGTCTCATTAAGAGGGTTTGGTCAAGGAGTGTGTGTTGAATTAAACATCAGTTGAGACAGAGCACAGGTTTTGGTTTGAATAGCAATTCTAACTGTCTGACTTTCTGTGTTTAAAAATCAAACTGTCGCATAATTTTATTCTCAGCTGGCATTGATCATGGACAGGCTAGTCTAAGCAATCGTGATCATCTTTTTAGAGTCTCTTATTCCATCAGTATGCTGTCCTTGAGTGTGCAGGCTATTTGTTGTTGATCTTAATGATTTATAAAGGGGGCGGCTCAGCAAATGTAGCAGAACCCTTTGCACACACCTCCATCCCTTCCCACTAACTCTGTCCCGCTTTCTGTGTGTGTGTTTGGGGAGAATCAGTCGATATAAGGGTAAGGGAAGTGTGTGTGTAACGTAAGAGACCATTCTTCACTGGTTTGTTACCTTGTGCATTTGTGTAGATCTGTTTTTATTCATGTGTGTGTGGTTAATGTGCTCTGCACCTATTAATCACAACACTTCTCCTGCTGATGCTGCATCAGGTAGCAACATGAAGATGAGATGGGAGAAGAGAGAGAGATTGCAAGAAAGGAAGGAATTTAGGATGGATGGATGGCTTTAAATGAAATAATTTATTAAGCAAGAAAAATAATTAAGAAATAAAAAAATGTATAGAAGGCAATAGCAATGATTTTAGAAATAATTGTATAAATCTGGAAAGGAAGAAAAGAAAAAGAATTAAGAGAGATTTTTTTAAATTAGAAAGAAAAAGAAAAATAATTTAAAGAAAGGAGTTTAGAAATAAATAATTTAGAAAGAAAGATATAATTTAGAAAGATAAATAAATAAATGAGTTTAGAAAGAAAGAAATAATTTTGAAAGAAACTGAATTTAGAAAGAAAGAGATATAGGGAGAATTTGGAAAGGAGTTTAGAAAGAAAGAGAATTTAGAAAGGAAAACAAGGAAGAATTTAGAAAAAAAATTAAAAGGGAGAGAATTTAGAAAGATTTAAGAAAGAATGAATTTAGTAATTTTGGAATTTATGAAAGAAGGGACTTTAGAAAGAAAGAGAAAAGGAGGGAAGAAGGAAGGGAAATAAGGATCAAATAGAGAAGGAAGGAATTGGGGCAAGAAAAGTAAGGGGAAAACAAGAAAATAGGGGTAAAAGCAGGAGGGAAAGAATTTAGGAAGGAAGCAAAGAATGAATGATGGAATGAAAGACAAAGACGGGTATGCAGAGGCGAGAGAGTGAGAAAAACAGAGACTAGAGAGAGGTAGACGCATACCTGAGAATCTGCGGTTTCCCTCCATCTGTGTGGGGAAGATAAACAGAGCAGGTAAATAGCACACTAATGCATGCTGGGAATGCAAAACGGCACACGCAATACATGTTTTACTGACAGAGTTCTGTTATCCGTGTTTGATTACCATATTCTGCTAGAGGCGCTGCTAATAATGAGTTTCATTGTGAAGAAAATGTGTAGAACAGGAGACAGGTGTTGTGATCCAGACTGTGTGTGTGTGTTAAATGACTATTTTAATGCCATTAGATGCTGCACTAATAGCTGTAGGGATTAAACATGAGCCGCTCAGAGGTTGGGATCCATCACTTAATGTGAACAATATACACACAATATTGCAATACAGAAAATAATGACCAGCTCTTTCTATTAGGCCACAGACCTTGATTTTGCAGGTGACATTTGACAGCCTGACACTCTCCCTCTCTCCCCTCATGCAGATGCTCTCTAAAGCGCCGTGACTCTGCTGGATATGAAACTCCCCAGTAATTCCTCTCTCTCTGTCTCTGTCTCTCAGTGTCCATCAGCTGTAGCAGGTCTAAGCACAATCCTCAAGAGGCTCTACAGTTGCTGACTTCAGCTCGACTCAGTTTGAAGAGCCTGGTCTCCAAAGCCAAAGTGAGTTACACACACACACACTCTCAGCTATTATGGTTTAAGAGCTTTGCCGAAGTCTTTTAAAACATCAATAAAAACAAGCCTCTTGTTTGTTTTGTGAAAGTTGCCATTTTTTTTTCCATTTCTGGCTATTTAATGCAATTACACATGCAAGTTAGCGTAAACCCATTTCATTTTCATAATGCGACAACCAAACAGGACATTTAACAAGAAAATGTAGAAAAAGACTTCATTTTAGACAATGCCGTTCAAAAGTTTGGGGTCAGTAGGATTATTATTTATTTATTTTTATTATTTATTTGCGAAGGAAGTTAATACTTGTATTCAACAAAGATGCATTAAATTGATCAAAATAAGAAAAGTTTCTTAAGCACCAAATCAGCATATTAGAATGATTTCTGAAGAATCATGTGACACTGAAGACTGTAATGAGTAATGATGCTGAAAATTTGCCATCACATGAATAAATTACATATAAAATAGAAAATCACAATGTATTTTGGTCAAATCAATGTAGACTTCTTTCAAAAACATTTTAAAAAATCTAACCAACACCAAACTGAATGATAGTCTATGTATTAGAGCTGCACGATTCTGGGCAAATTGAGAATCACTTTTTTTTTTCTTTTTTTTTCAAATAGAGATCACGATTCTCCCATGATTCTGAACAGACAACTAAATAAAATAACATGTAGCCTAATTTACAAGAGGTTCTGACAAAATGTTAATTGCTGCTGTCTATATATATATATATATATAAAAAAAGGTTAATTAATTTGAATTTGATTTTTTTTTTTTTTTTTTTTTTTTTTGAATGAATGATTCAATGACAAATAAAAATGTTCACCTCACTTGTCACCACTTAGTGGCATGATGTAATGATAATATCGTTATTTGAAGCTCCAAGTTACTTTCTATTTCTACTTTCTATTTTGATCGCTTTAAGTATTAGTAAATAATATTCACACAGAAATAATGATACTGTATGGCTGGAAACGCAGATCTGAATGTTCCGGTGTGATTTTGTCAAAGGTTTAGTACGGGCAAATCGTGTGGATGTTTGAATCGAGATCGCACTTTTTTTTTTTATGATTAGTCATGCAGCAGCTCTAGTACGTATATCAGGAATAAATTGGATTTTAAAAAGTGGGCTATATATGACAGATGGGCTTGATGTCAGCTCAAATGAAAAGTCAGAATGAAATAGATGTTTTGATGAAATATTACAGACTTTTTTTTTATATGAAATAGCTTTGTAATGATGAATCGTTCACAATAAGACCAAGAACATGTATTATGAAAATGTTGTTTTCACGTTATCTATATGTATTGGAGTAAGTTATTTTTATCAGCTGCCATAATTTATAGATCTCACATTTGTTTTGTTTTCTCTTCACAGCAAATGTACACTGATGATGTCACGGGCGAGCTCCATGATGACATCAGAGGTGATGTCACAGAGCTCGAGCAGCTTGTCACAGAGCTACAGGACCTGAGTGGCCAGCTACGCAGCCAATGAGAAGCCACATCACTGCTGTCCCTCCTTTTCTTCCTCCCTTTGATTAGTTTAAACAGTGCATTTTTAACATGTTTTAGACTAACAAAACATGCCATCTGGAGGCCTCAGGACTTCGGTCACTTGTTCAATCAACAGAGAAAACCTAATTGAAAGACTAAGTGACTGAGTTAAAGATGTTTGTCATCATGACCTGGTCCAGGGTCAGTTGTCTTTGCCCTAATCAGAGCTCCTGCGATTACACAATGTGTGATTTTTAAGGTCCTTGAGGCTGTCCTTTGTACAACGTTGCCTTATTCCAAATTAATAAATAGTACACATCTTTCTTACATATTTAATCTTTGTGCTTGTTTTTTGAGCATATGTACAGTCAGTTAATATAGAAGGATTTGCACAACTGACGTCTAGGTCACACAACATCAGATATATTGTTTCAGTGTTGTAGCTCATTCAAGTTTGAGTCTAGGTCAATACCGAAATACAGTAGATTGAATCCGAGTCGAGACACAAATCTAAACGACTGCATAAAATGTAAACTCTGACAATGTTTGCTATAACTTATTTAAGAATGCTATTCTTTTTTTCCCACACTAAACTTATCCCTGGGTTAATGTATTTAAAGCAACTATTAACCCTGGGCTTACCAGAATTTTGCATTTGTTCATTTAAAATGAGAGTTATGACTGTGGGTTTCAAGTTTGAAAAGCCCATATTTGTTTTAAGAATAAAGTTTAGAGTTTGTAGGAATTATTATTGTTTGTTTTTTAAAGAAATCTCTTTAGCTCACCAAGGCTGCATTTATTTGATCAGCATAACTGTGAATTATTAATATTACAATTTAAAATATTTATAATTTTCTATTTAATTATTTTATTCCTGTGATGGCAAAGCTGAATTTTCAGCATCATTACTCCAGTCTTCAGTGTCACATGATCCTTCAGAAATCAGTCTAATATACTTATTTGGTGTCATGAAATGTTGAAAACCGTTGTGCTGTTTAATATTTTTGTGGAAACTGATACATTTTTCTAGATTCTTTGATGAATAGAAAGTTCACAAGAGCATCATTAGAAAAGAAATAGTTTTTTTTGTAACAATATAAGTATCTTTACTGTCTGACCACAAACTTTTGATCGATAACAAACGTGTAGGAAATTAGGTCATTATCGAGAGTTTGCCGAGCCTTTCTGTCGTAAGATTACTCGTATATTTAAAGTTGATTTACCGGCCTTAAAAAAATATCTGTATTTCAATGAAAATTTAGAGATCTATAACCATCTGATTTCTCATCTAGACTCTCTTCCTGTCTGACGTCTCTCTGCGCCTGTCCTGAAATGACATCATGCTAGTGATTTTTCTGCCTGGTATTAGAGAAATATCTGTAAGTAATTAGCTTTCATTGTGTTTGACCGTTAAGAGAAACAAGGAAATTGGCAGTGTTTGGTTATTCGTCATATTCGGCTATTTTTGCCTGGTAAATTGCCTTCGAGAACCTACAGGAAGGCTAAAACATGAAGATGACTTAAAGCAAACATCCTGTGTCTGTTCTGGGAACAACCTAGTGAACTTCCAGAGAAGAGATTACGCAATGTGAACACACTGTAGCAGAGCTGTTCGATCACAATGCCACATGCGTTTAGCGTATGCTACTACATCATCCAAAAAGTGCTCGTCTGTTTTTCAAGAACGTTCTGAATGGAACGCTGCAGTCATTTTTAGGTCAACCCGGAAGATAGCATCACCCTCGTTCCCTCAACAAAACCCCAATAGGATTTTTCCATTTCCTTTTGGATTGTTGCAGAAAATAAGCCCCGTGACCAACAAAAGTGTATGATTAATGTTACTTTTTTTTATCTTGATGATAATCTTCACAAATGAACACAGCTTTTATGAATCTTTTAATAATAATAATAATAATAATAATTCATTACATTTATATAGCGCTTTTCTAGGCACTCAAAGCGCTTCACATGGAAGGGGGAATCTCCTCAACCACCACCAATGTGCAGCATCCACTTGGATGATGCGACGGCAGCCATAGTGCGCCAGAACGCTCACCACACACCAGATTACTGGTGGAGAGGAGACAGAGTGATGAAGCCAATCAGTGTGTATATATATATATATGGGGATGATTAGGAGGCCATGATGGACAGAGGCCACTGGGCAAATTTGGCCAGGATGCCGGGGTTACACCCCTACTCTTTCGAAAGACATCCTGGGATTTTTAATGACCACAGAGAGTCAGGACCTCGGTTTAACGTCTCATCCGAAGGACGGTGCTCTTTGACAGTATAGTGTCCCCGTCACTACACTGGGGCGTTAGGACCCACACAGACCACAGGTGAGCACCCCCTGCTGGCCTCACTAACACCTCTTCCAGCAGCAACCTGGTTTTCTCAGAAGGTCTCCCATCCAGGTACTAACCAGGCTCAGCCCTGCTTAGCTTCAGTGGGCAACCAGTCTTGGGCTACAGGGTGATATGGCTGCTGACATAAAAAAATTTAAGCCTGAATAAAATCAGCAGAAGTAAAATGCTAAACGTATAAAACTACGCTTTCTTATAACTTACCCACATTCAAATGTTAATAAGAAAAAAAAGAATTCATTAAGCTAGAATAACCCCTACCGAAAATTAACCATGGTTTTACTACAATTAAAACCACTAATATCTCCATAATACAGATACATTTGTGTGAAAATGATCAAAAATGCTGGCGGTGGCCGGTGCAAAAATCGAAGGCGGGGAAAGAATTTAGTTTTGGACAACCTCTGTAGTCCCATTTAGTCACTTATTAGCAGTCACTTTGTTAGCATACACAAGGGGGTATTGGGTATTACTTTGGCCTATAAAAGGGGCGGGGGTAGGCGTTAATATAAAAGGGGGTAGGCGTTAATAAGCTTAAGCTTCTGCCTAATCCTTTTGAGCATCATATTCACGTTTTTATTTATTTTCTTACATATTTATTGCGCATGTATCCTTCTTTAGTTTGGCCTACTACGCTGACCCTTGTTTACTAGATAGAACTTTGTGGGTACTAGATTCTCAAATAAAAGCTAATAATAATAATGTATTTAATCCTCTGGTCTGTTTGCGTGTCATAAATTGCTGAATCGTTTTTTATTTCAATAAAATGATTCTGCAATATTTTTATTAAATAAAATATTTTTTTATTTAATATTTAGGGTATTTTATGGTGCTAAATTATATTAATGCCATAGTTCTCCATTTATTCACTTTTTGAGCATGGACCTGAAAATTACATTTCAACTTAAACGGTCATAAATCTTGAATGCTTTGGAGCATAGACTTTTGTATAGTTTGTATAGCATAGTTTGTCTCATTTTATAGACTACAAGTGTAAATATGTTTTAGGACCATTTAACCTTTTTCGAATCATGTCTATGATTTGTGTGTGTGTGTGTGTGTTCACACGTGCCAAAACCTTTTCCAGGTTTCGTACCATGAAGTAAAAAAAAAAAAACGAAATAAAGCACCAGAGAGTTAATGTTGTAGAATAAAACATGAAAACATCTTTCCACAGACAATATTTCAGGCATTTAATGAAAAAAATAAATGGAAAAAACCATTGACTTCGGGATGATGGAACAGGAAAGTGTTAAAATGCTAGCTCGCTTCTGGGTTTTGGCCTTCAAAAATACCCCATCCAGGCAGTACTCTGTGCTTTTGGAAGTTAGCAAGATGTGCCTAAAATAAATCTCAAGCTCTCCTAACTTTTTCTAAAGGATGCAGTTGTCTAAATGGCAAATATTGTAGCTCAGGTAGCATCTAAAACCAAAACATTGTTTGAACCCCCCATATTACAGTAGAGAGTTGCTGACAGAAGACATCTGCTTCCCTCCCACCGGGGCTGCCCTGCTGGCTCTGACAACAATCACAAAGCACATTTTTAGCTACATAAACTGTTAATTCCCCAGCACAGCTCTCCTTCCTCCCACAGGGCTGTTGTGATATCACTGATACAGTGTGAAGTTCCTGTCCTCCCTTTGCGGGCCGCATGTGTGGTTGCCATATCGTTTAATTGTGTCCCTGCCGTCTCATGCACAAATTAGCAACTTAAGAACCCAATGGCCCTGCATTATGTTCTCTGTCAGTTTATATAGTCGTAAGAGTTGATTGTGTTTGACACAATTGATCTTTTGCATTCCCAGATGCTATACTGTACAGATGAAGCAGCAGAGAATTGGATATTCCCAAGAGGTGAGGTCCGAAATTAAGGATTTGAACACAGCCTTAAAGGGGTTGTTCAACCAAAAATGATAATTACTTACACACATTTTGTTCCAAACCTGTTTGGCTTTCTTCTGTGAAAACAAAAGGAGATATTTGAATAATATCTCTGTGTTTTTTGTCCATACAATGAAAGTCAATGGGGTCCAGTGTTTAGACGTCACCTCAGTGAATTCCAAAATATATATTTTTTTGTGATCCACAGAAGAAAGAAAATAATACAAGTTTAAAACAGTAGGTGAGTTTACGGACAGAATTTTCTTTTTGGGTATAGCCTACTGTCGAAGTATTCATCCATTCAAACTGATTTAGGTGAGGTGTCCTATTACATAAGTGATTTATGATTTTCACCTTGAGGATGATAAAATCAGTGATGGTAGATTTAAGTGGTATAGAGACCAGAATATGATAGAGAGTTGGGGATGGCTTCTTTTGATTTACCCAGTACAAACCACCATGACAACTGAATAGCAGCAAGTTAAAAACCTCTCAGAAAACTCTGCATAGAAAAGTAGAAAAGGAAACTTATGGAAATTTTATATAAAAAGTTGGCCTCTCTATTTCTTGTGCATTACGGATTCTAAGTACCACAGTAAATGTTCACAGCCTGGATAATTCAAGCAGGGTTTTTTTTATATATATATATATTGCAAATCAGTTCCATGAATATATAACTTTTGAACTGTTCGAAATTGATTTTAAAAATGTACTGAAGAATTTCTGTAAAATTTTAGTTAAAAATGTTAAATTTACGACCCTAGAATTAAAAATGACGAAGTCATTTTTAGATTTTTTATTTCTTATTTTTTAAAAGAGTTTGTGTAGCCGTTTTAAGTTTTTTTAAATACCCAATTTGAATGTCACTGAAACAGTCCATTATTTGGGGATGAGGTAGATTTCATTTCCATATGCCCATAACTTATATGGCCACACTGAGTGCATTATTAGTGTTACAGTTACTCCTGCTCGCTTGCTCCTATTGTACATTTAATAATGGTTTAGTGAACCAATTTATAGTGCCCAT